TTTTGTAGGTAATAGTCATTCAGAATTATTTTCTATGAGGTTTGAAGGTGCCAACATCACATCAATCTCAGTAACAATAGCAGCAGTATCATGGGGGGTCCATAGGGGTAACAGTTGCCTCCTGTCTGGTAGTATCCTCCTCAGGGAGAACTAAAATGTGTAGAGCAGTGGGGTTAGACCCTTTTTTATACACTTGAACCTTGGATTTCAAATTAGGGTGGAGCTTGTGGCATTTATCAATGATATGCCCAAACATCTTACAGTGGGTACAATATGAAGGTCTGTGTTCCATGACGATTTATTATCAATATCCATTATGAGTTGTGCTTATCAATGATATGCCCAAACATCTTACAGTGGGTACAATATGCATGTCTGTGTTTCATGACAATTTATTGCCAATATCCATTACGAGTTGTGCCCGACCAGACTTCAGTAACATCAGGTAAAGTAATATATCTTTCCACAAGTATTCTGGCCACCAAAGGTCTGGTTAAATTGAAAGTGGCTAGTTTTATAGGGTCCCCAATAATGACCCCATTAGAGTAGAGAACCTGATGATGAAAAAAATGCAGTTTGAGACCAAATAGACTAAATCATACTGGTACAGTGGGAGTTTCATGATTGAGGTCAAAATCAGAAGACCACTTGAGTAACTTCAATGACTTGTCTGCAATATTAAGGTATTTTTTTGGAATTCTTGGAGAAAATCAGTTGTAGTCTTCAGCCATGGTTAGTTAAGTCAACACATGTCTCCCATCCATGAGTCTCACTTTCCACTTGCCTACAAGTTTAAAATCATCAACACTCCTTCTGATAACTTCCATAGATGGGTGCCCCCACTGAAATTTCCCAATAAGAGCAAACTTGAATTTCTCCGTCAGAGAAATAGAATGTTTTTCCACATTTTCCATTTGTCCATCAAAGTTGAAATTTCTGAGTCAGAGAAAGAAGATTGCTCCTTTACCACCTTTTCTACTTCCCTTCTTAATAAAAGAGCAATCACCTGTACCATCGCGACAATCCTCATAGCTTGAGGGGAAAACCACTGTGGACTCCATCTGAGGGTTACCCACTATATGGGCAAAAAAAGCTTTGTCCGGTTCAACCAAAGAAGAAGGAAGCGACATGAGAGTAAGGAGAGTTGTCGGCCTGAACGCAGAGGAAGAGATTCAGCAGGGAGAGAAGTTGTATGGCGCAGACGCAACAAAAGAAGGAAGCATCATTGAAATAGAAGAAAATGTAACTGTCGGGCGTAGACGCAGAAGCCGCAGCGTCGAAACTAAGTCGCAGGCGCGTGACGCAGGCTCTAGAAACGAATCTATGACGAAAACACGAGACGCGACGCCAACGACGACACCAACACAGACGCTAACCGATGGAGCGAGAGTCGATGAAACGAGTTGCGAGCTTCGCAAATGCGACCAATATATATATCTGTGTGCGCGTTCGTGGCCTATTGTTAGCCTCTCTGAAGGTCGTAAGTCCCCTCAGGTCACGGGTTTGAATTCACCCCGTGTGCAGGGCGTGGCACTCAAATATTTAACACAACACCGATAGAAAACCTTGTACCCAAGATCTCTTTCTAGAAAAATAGCTCTCAACCATTAAGCAAAGATAGCTTGCATATATATATATATATATATATATATATTGTTTTCACACATCTCCTTCTCTGCTTTGCTAAGGGCGAAACCCTGGTTTTTTTATTCGCCCTTCAAACGACGAAGTTCTCATATTCGACGACAACTACGAAGGACTTTGCACTCGTCAATCTCCATCGCAATCGTCCTCTTCTCTTTCGCGCCCAACGACGAAGGGCCTCGGCGTCTTCCTACTGCGGTTTCGTGTCTGTCGAGCTGCGGCGCGGTTTCGTCTGCCTACCCCTACTGCGGTGTCGTCTGCAGCTTGGCATATTCTACGGGATTGTGTCCGTGTGGGCGTGTGCGCGTCTCTACGGGATTCCGCGACGTCAGTAGTCTGCCTTTTTTGCACAACATCGCCCCAGACCTCTTCTGTCCTACTTTCAGCTCTTCTCCCTTACTGTGACTTGCTGCGATGGAGCTTTCTCCTTCGGTTGAGCCCAGTAAAACCTCCTCTTTTGCCCACGTTGTGGGTAATCCTCAGAGAGAGACAGTGGTTGTCTTCCCCTCAAGTTATAAGGAGAATCGTGATGGTACAGGTGAATGCCCCTTTATTGAGAATGCAAGCAGGAAGAGTGAGAAGACAACACTATTTTTATCTAAGCCCGAAATTTCAATCTTGACTGACAAATTCAAATTTGCTCTCATTACGAAATTTCAGTGGGGACACCCAGCTATAAAAGTTATCAGGAATGACTGAAGACTACACTCGTATTTTCTCCAAAAAAATATCTTAACATTGCTAGTAAACCAATGAAGCTACTCAAATGATCTCCTGATTTTGACCCCAATCATGAACCTTCTGTTGTACCGGTATGGTTTAGTCTACCTGGTCTTAAGCTGCATTTTTTTCATCATCAGGTTCTCTACTCTATTGTTGGATACTTGGGAACCCTATGAAGCTAGATCTACCCACTTTCAACCTTACCAAACAGTCTGTGGCCAGAATACTTGTGGAAAGAGATATTGCTTTGTCTGATGTTACTGAAGTCTGGTTGGACACAATCCATAATGGATATTGGCAACAAATCTTCATGGAGCATAGACCTTCTTATTGTTCTCATTGTAAGATGTTTTGGTATACTTTTGATAAATGTCATAAACTTCACTCTAATTTGAAATCTCAAGATCAAGTGAATAAGGATGGTTCTAAGGATATATCTGTACCACCTGGAGAGAAAGCTACCACAACAGATTTTGGTGTCTGATTCTCTTGGCCCCGTCGTTACTGTTACTGCGAGTGATGTGATGCTGACCCCTTCAAATCCCAAAAAAAAAATACAAAAAAAAATACAGATGGACTATTAACTACAAATGATAGTGTTCAGACTGATAATTAGGAGAGCCTCGTAGCTCCACTTCTTCAGGAAGTATCCAGTGTAGAGGCAACTCGTACTTCACATATACTAGAACCTATTGTGGGTACTACGTTTGGTATTCCTTCTGCTTCAGCTCTACCACCCCATCAGACTGATTGATTCTTCGGAAGAGGAATGGCAGGTCTATTCTATAAGGAAGAAGAAGAATGGAGGTTGAATCCAACTTGGGAACATATTGGATGATATATTGGTTACTACTAGCAATGACAATCATCTTACCAACTTATTAGATTGCTCATTCCCTAGAACTAGAGGCATGGGAAACTAGAGACAAAGGCAAGACCAAATTGGGTCGCTCTCTAGCCACAGATTATGTATTTCAGCACTGTTAGACTTTTTATTTTTAGTATCTTGAATTTTCTGTTTTTTCTAGTTTTGAAACATTTTGTGTTTTTTTATGTGGACAGGGTGTCATGCTTCAGCCTCCCACACATTGTATCTGTATCTTTTTTTTTCCTATTTAATATATTAGCCTTTTTTGGGCATTCAAAAAAAAATATATATTGTTTTCACACACACGCACACCACCACCAATACAAGACCTCGAACCCAAGATCTTTGGGTAGAAAGATAAAGCTCTTAACCACTAGGCTAAGATAGCTTGCATAACTCTTTTGTATATTTAAAAAAAATAATAATAGAAAAACAATGCTTTAAAAAATTTCTTCATACTACCATCAGAAACATTAGAAAGCTATATCACGGAAATGAAGTACTTGCATCACAAAGTTAGCTCCATGAATATTAAACTTAACACTGCTCCTATGTATAAATATGTCTCATATGACTTCACAATAAAGACCAACCATACTTCAATGAAAAAAGAAATAGAAAGTGTTAAGTGCAAGGAAAATTAAGCCACAACTAAAGCAAGCACCTCTTTTTGCACACAGGCATAAGGATGCAAAGTCAAATATTATCTACTATGCAGATAAATCTTATTTATTGCAAAATAATGTACTTTGCTTCAAGACGTTATCAGAAAGCAAGTTTTTGTATTGCAATAGTACAGATTCTCAAGCGTAATCGTTGATGATACAATATATTGAAATTAAGATCTAACTACGTAATGTCTACGTAAAATTTGGGAAATTTACATCCATAGCACACAATTCTTATGTATTTACAAATCGTAGGATCTAAAGTTTGATATTTAAATTTATGGCACTTTGGTATCATAAACCAATTCATAAAAAGGTGCTTACACTTGTTAAAAAGTTATTAATAGTGGTATTTTTGATATAACATTACAAATATGAATGTTCTGTATGTAAATATAAAAGTTGAGGTGTTAGATAATTAAATAAACAAAAATTGTGTAGTATGTATGTAAATGCTCCTAACTTAAAACATAACATATTTGTTTTGGCCTGGAAATCTGCAAAATTACTCTTTGACTGCCATTATATACATGTAATGAGCTTGTAATTTTACCATGGTGCCAATTTTCTTCTATAAAGTGGGAAGGCATAAGGCTTATTTATGCAAATTTCTTTTAAAAAATAAAGAATCAAAGACTGCTAAACTTAAACCAGTAAATTAAAAAGAAAATGGAAAAAGAACGGTACACGAATGATTTCACCCAAGTTATTCAGAGGTTACCAACTAAAACCCCCATACTGAAGGGGTTTCTCAGAAGAAAAAATCTGAATATAAAGCAATTTGTGGGGTGGGATTAGTAGACCTTAGAAAAACTTGGTTATGCTCTGTGGTAATCATTTACAAAGCTTCAATTGGCACCAAAAGAAGCCTTTAACTAGATGAGAGGCTAATTAACTCCAAATAGATGAAGTGAGGCTCATAATGATCTTAATTAACTCCACTAATTAAGACTTCCATAGATTTAGTATAACGTGCATGTTTGCTTATTATTAGCAACTGGAAAGCCGAAATGTGATGAACTTAGAAGAAAGCTTAAAATATCAATTGCATCGTCTATACACAAGGCAATTTTTAAACACAGAACCAAAAGGCTTACCATTAAGGAAAAGAATCCTTGTTTCTGAATGTGAAGCCACACACTGTAATGACATATCAAAGCAGAGTAAGTGCCATTAGATGCTTGATGAACTAATTCCTATAAAAGAATAAGTAAAACATATTATCAAAAAGCTTAGGAGGGCAACCAAACAAAATTTTAATGCAATTTTTTGAAAATAATTTTAAGAACGAACAACACCATAGGAAGGCACAGCTATTTATTAATATACTAATGAGATGCCTATTATAAATAAGGATATATTGCGGAAACCAGGTGTATATTTTGAAACTTTTTTGTATTTCAGGATCCATACTTCAGAATGATATCTTTATAGATGGTTGCTTTATTATTGAGCTAATGCATAAATGATTTGTTGATTGTGATGTGTGTAGATTTTCTACATGTCGAATGGCTCTTGCAATATCATGTTTGCTTAAACACAAAACTTGATGCGCTGAGCTATTTTTTCATGCATTCCTAGCCATTTAAGCCAACGTTCTCAACATGCAAATTATTTCTTGTTTCTCTTCTTTACTTATTGTTTGGATTTTGAAATTTTTAACAGTGTATTTTCATGTTTCTACATTGGGATGTTAAAATCAAACAAACTCCATTTATCCTGTTTTCCAAATCCAAGATTCAAGGAGAGAATACGCTATACAAGCGTACAAAGCTCTAGGATTCATATAAAGTGTTTAAGAATCGGATCTAGCGAGAAGATGTTGTGAAATGGCAGGAGAAGAAAATGTAAAGTTGGAGATTGGTAGGGTAAATTGATGCCGGCTGCAGGACTAGAGAAAAACCACAAAGAGAGGTGGTCGGCAGCTAGGGCAGTGGTGTATATATGTCAGAAGGTTTCATCACCAATTCTCTTTGAGATGCAGACTCCCCCACTTGAAAAAGAATAGACTACAACACTCCAAAATAAGTGAAAACCACGAAAAATGTCTCTAGATAATATAAACCAAAGCAAAAGTACTCAAACCATATTCGAAACAGCATATTTACACTAAAGCATAAAGTAATCCTAAGTTTAACTAAATAAAACCTAGATACGAGGCACACAAGACCCCAAAATAGCTCCAAGTAGTAGATATCTAATAATAGGAAATCCTGAGGCGGAAATTCCACCTAGTCCTTCGAATCTCCCCATATGGGCAGCAAATAGCACTTGCATCTCTCGTTAGGCAGGAAAGGCTTCATCTTCTCTAGAAATTTCTATATCCTCTTAGTTTGGTGACAAGTCATCGACGTTACAAAAATAGCAAAAAATTCTTTATCTCACACAGTAGGTTTAGCTACATGAATCATTTTTCTCCATTGCATCCTATCAAGTGTCACATTTTCATTTAATTCCAAAAGATTAATATCGTTTTTTAATACAACATGCCCAGATCTTTTTAGATCTATCTCTACTTTTTTTACCAAAAGTCAAATCTAAAACATATACTCTCCTAACAGGATCATCAGATGGTCGACGTTCAACTTGACCAAATCAACTAAGACGACTCTCTCTAATAATCTTGTCTGCCACTTAGTTTTATGCTTCTCTTTTATAGGCCAACATTCTGCACCATAAAGTATTATAGGTTTCACCACCATCTTATAAAATTTTCCTTTAAGTCTAAACAGTACTTTTTATCACACAAAAGGCCCGAATGCATTTTTTTTTTAATGTAGCAAAAATATTAGTCTCCTAACAACTCAATCTTATTAGCATTATCATTAATCTTTTGGACAATTCTAAATGGACCATTAACTCTAAGCTTTGAGCTTCCAAAAAAAAAAAAAAAATCTCCTAGTGCAAAAAGTCTGAGCCAGACAAAATCTACTTCCTTGATGATCATAACCATCCTAAACTTGTTAGTCTATTTCTAATACTTTGATTCTGCTATGAAATTTTTCTCTCACCTATTCATGTAAACTTTGAATTTCTTTGACTCCAATCTCAGCATCCATACTAAACTCAGTAGCTGGAAGCATCTGAAATAACTCTAAGACTGTGAGGTGAATCCGTGCATATACAATCATGAATAAGTTAACAATCGGGACAGAAATGCCCTAGTGACCAAACCTAATGATTTAAAAAGGAGACGATGAGATTATGGTGTTCTGTCCCGATACAATCATGATTCGGGCTACCAAGAAAATCAATGAAGGGATTTCAACATGTTGGATCTAAAATCATCTTTGGAGTAATGACAACAAAAAATAGATGCTCTGGAGAAGAAATTAGAGAAAGAGGTGAGTCGAATCAGATATGAAATAGAGGAGCCTTTTTCGGCCAGGGATGGGCATTTCTCGGCCAGGGATGGGAAATTCACATCCATAGAGGGGAGATTCATGGCCGTGGAAAAAGGATGAAGAAGGTCATGGAGCTTTAGGCAAACCCGTTGTTGCCTGCAATGGGATTGAGCAATGGCTTTTGAAGCGGACTCAAGCGGCAAAAATTAGAAGGATTTGTGCAGCATCAAGGCAACATTGTTGCATTAGGCAGATCTGGAGTCATGGGATCGAGTGAAAGAATGAGGAGTAGACTTGAGCATGTAATAATCCTAAGATCGCAGCTTTCTCTCATCGGTGTGTGCCCATATAACTACCCCCGGGTATAGAAAGATGAGATCGAGAGATGAATCCGAGATATGTTGGAGGTCGGGATCATACAACCTGGTGTGAGCTCCTTCTTAGCCCAATCACGTTAGTGAACAATACCTAACAAATTCCCCATCCCGGTAATCGATGAGTTATTGAAAAAGTTGTTTGGAGCTGCAGTATCCTCCAAAAAAGACTTGAAGTCGGAGTACCAACAGATTCAGATATGACCAAAGGATGTGCACAAGACTTCATTTCAAACTCATAAGGGTCACTATGAATTTTCGATTAAATGGAAAAGATTATCAAGAGATGACGCCATGTGAGACCCAAATAAATTGATAGAACAATAATTTTCCCACCTTAGGACAATGTGTCTTTTGGGATAGGAGTAAAGTTAGACCAACGCCTAGCCCACAAAATAATTAAAGACTTGGGCGTAAGACTAAAAAAACAACTTAGTCCTTTGTTACTTATTATTGTGGGGTATAAATATGACTAATATGTTCAGGGTTATGTTATGTATGATTGTTGGCTTGAATCTTAGGGTTAAAGTTTAGGAGAAGTTGCCTGCCTCTTGAATTGTAGGTGTTAGAGCCAGGATTTGGGAGAGATTGCCTACCTCTTGAATTATAGGTGTTTATCCTTTATGTATTCTGGTTATGTTGTTTTGTGTTATTGAAATAAAATATTTTTTGTCCTAATATCTATGAAAGTTCATTTCTTTGTTATAATAAAAAAAGGGAAAAAACTGTGACAAAGCATATAATATCTTGATGGATGAGAGTTTAAGATGTTAAAAATAATATCAAAGCATTAAACCAACCTGAAGATGGAAATTAAGTGTCATAAAGAACAAAGTGCTACCCATGGGTGCCAAATTTTAGACCCAAGATGGGACAAAGTAATACATGGAGGGAGCCACCTCTTGAATCTATAAGGGCCACCTCTAGAATCCTATTCGTTTGGTAAATAATCCTGGGTTTAGAGTGCTGACAGAGGTGTCGGTTACTTAAGTGGGAGAGATTGTGAAACCCTTTAAGTAGAATGAAACTGAACCCTTAAACATCGAGGCGCCCTTTGGAGTAATGATTGAAGTTTCATAAAAAAATCCAAAGCTAAACATGCCTTCATGGGAGCACTCCCAGTATTGGTGACATGGGAAGTTGCACCAATAGAACAAAATTGTGAGGCCATTAGGCCAAAGTGGACAATATCGCAATGGATGAATGTTCGAGTTATTACATCATCACCTCTGTATATCCATGTGTCTGTAGATATGCTATTGAACTGAACTAGAGCTTCAGACCCAACTTACCCAATAAGATCCTCAAAAAACGACTCATGAATTTTATATTTCTATTTGAAATGATAATCTGAGATATGCGAAGAAGAAAAACTAACTCCTTGAAATATAAATTTAAAATATATGAATCATCCATTGTTTTTTAACAAGATTAGTAATGTACCATTTTGAAAAATCGATCCATTACCACCATAACTAAGTCCTTACTCTGTTAGGTCCATGAGAGACCCATAATAAAGTCCAAGATAACATCTAATCATGATGCTTTGGGATGAGGGGGAGTGTATAAACCCATATGTTGTTCTATAATATTGGCTAAATGAAATCCTGCACTATCGAAAATGCCTCTCCAAGTCTCATATTAATCTAATCTAATAAAAATTCTCTTTTAATAAGAAAAGAGTCTCGTCTCTGCTAACATGCTCTACCATGCATTCATTATGACACTTTTGCAAAATGCTCTCTAAGTGCTCTTAGGAATACACAATATGTTCCAATAGAACAAGTAATCATATGATCATTGGAATTGCTCATAGAATCTATACTGATAATGAACCCACATTTCCTAGAAATTCTCATCACTGGCATAGGCGCTCTTCAACACTTCAAATCACGCTATCTTGAAGTGCATGGTAGTGATCAACAGATATCAACGACTAAGGGCATCAAACACATTATTCTGACTTCCAGCTTTGTGCTTGAGCGCAAAAATGAAATAAATAAAAGAATTCCACCGAAGAGACATGGCTGCCTTTCAACTTTGATTTGAATCTTCAGTAATCTCAAAGCCTCATGATCAGTATAAAGAGTGAACTTGTTCACCAACAATTAATGACTCTAATGATAGAGGACTCTCACTATAACATAAAACTCCTTATCATAGGTGGAGTACTTTCGCCTAGAATCATTCAACTTCTCATTAAAGAAGGTTATAAATGTCCTCTTTCACTCGAAATAACTCCAATCATCATATTGGAAGCAACACACTCCACCTCAAAAAATCAAAGCCAACTTGAGCTTCATTCGAACATAAAAACATGTATGCCTTGAGGAACTCTGCAAAAAGTGCGCAATAGAACTAAAATTTCTAATAAACCTCCTGTAGAAGGTCAGCCTACGAAACATGCATACCGGAGTAAATG